CAATGCAACAACAATAAGAAATAATAAAAGATCAGAATACGAACATAAAGTAAATGGCTCAGTAGAATAGAAAAAAGATTTGAGCTTAAGTATAATACAGGAAGGCACAATTAATAGTCCAATATTTACACGTGTATTGGGGAAGGGGGGGATGGGGGGCATTGTATAAACTGAGCAGTATAATAAGAGTCTGGTAGCAGCAGTTGTGATGTGTGTGTGTGTGTGTAGCAGGGGAGGGTGGTGGGCAGATATATAGGAGGATGGGCTCATTTTAATGGGTGTAGTCTCTCGTGAGAATCTGTCAAGGCTCACATAGATTTATGTGATTACGAGCAGCAGTAGTTCCTGGTTTTGGGTTTTCATCATTGATTTTTTGGATGTATCCGGATTGGGCGAAGGCGGTGCTTAAACTCGTGCTGTGATTTTCAAGCCTGGATGATGAACGGATTCCACAGCCACAAAGTCAATATTGCCCTTGATAAACATGGGTGAAATTAGCGCAAGGGAGGGGTTTGGCCTAGAGTTTCCGTTTGCGAGGGAGGAGACTTCACTTCCTTCCTGCCCCGAGAAGTAAAACAGAAAATGACACATTTTTGCGAGATAATTTGACTTCTGGGTAATGGAGATGATAATGGGTGGTATAGAAAGTTATCTAACACATCTAACACATGGTTTTAACACATGGTTTTAACACATGGTTTTAACACATGGTTTTCATGTGTTTGATACGGTTCCTTTCATTCCGTTCCAGCCATTCAATGGCCTGTCCTGCTATATCTCCACCCACCAGTCTCCTCTGGTGTGTACAGTGCATTATTTTCATATATATATATATATATATATATATATATATATATATATATATATATATATATATATATATATATATATATATATATATATATATATATACATACACAGAGTACCAGTCAAAAGTTTGGACACATCTACTGATTGAGTGGTTTTTCTTTATTTTTACAATTTTCTACATTGTAGAATAATAGTTAAGACATCAAAACTATGAAATGACACATATAGTAACCACAAAAGTGTTGAACAAATAAAAATATATTTTATATTTGAGGTTCTTCAAAGTAGCCACACTTTGCCTTGATGACTGCTTTGCACACTCTTGGCATTCTCTCAACCAGCTTCATGAGGTATTCACCTGGAATGCATTTCAATTAACAGGTGTGCCTTCTTAAAAGTTAATTTATGGAATTTCTTTCTTTCTTAATGCGTTTGAGCCAATCTGTTGTGTTGTGACAAGGTAGGGGGGTATACAGAAGATAGCCCTATTTGGTAAAATACCAAGTCCATATTACAGCAAGAACAGCTCAAATAAGCAAAGAGAAACAACAGTCCATCATTACTTTAAGACATGAAGGTCAGCCAATCCGGAAAATGTCAACAACTTTGAAAGTTTCTTCAAGTGCAGTCACAAAAACCATCAAGCACTATGATGAAACTGGCTCCCATGAGGACCACCACAGGAATGGAAGACACAGAGTTCTGTGAGACGCGATGTGGGTGAACAGATGATCTCTGCATGTGTATTTCCCACCGTAAAGCATGGAGGAGGAGGTGTTATGGTGTGGGGGTGCTTTGCTGGTGGCACTGTCTGTGATTTGTTTAGAATTCAAGGCACGCTTAACCAGCATGGCTACCACAGCATTCTACAGCGAAACGCCATCCCATCTGGTTTGGGCTTAGTGGGACTATCATTTGTTTTTCAACAGGACAATGACCCAACACACCTCTAGGCTGTGTAAGGGCTATTTTACCAAGAAGGAGAGTGATGCAGTGCTGCATCAGATGACCTGGCCTCCACAATCCCCTAACCTCAAACCATTTGAGATGGTTTGGGATGAGTCGGACCACAAGTGAAGGAAAAGCAGCCAACAGATGCTCAGCATATGTGGGAACTCCTTCAAGACTGTTGAAAAAGCATTCCAGGTGAAGCTGGTTGAGAGAATGCCAAGAGTGTGCAAAGCTGTCATCAAGGCAAAGGGTGGCTATTTGAAGAATCTAAAGTATAAAATATATTTTGATTTGTTTACCACATTTTTGTTTACTACATGATTCCATATGTGTTATTTCATGGTTTTGATGTCTTCACTATTATTCTACAATGTAGAAAATTGTATAAATAAAGATAAACCCTTTAATGAGTAGGTGTGTCCAAACTTTTGACTGGTATTGTATATTAGTTAATATACTGTAGCTATATGCTGTTTATGTACTCACAATACCTCCCTATTTAACCCACACTTAACCAACACACACACAACAGTGATCAAAGGCCAGTATAAGTGGTTATTGTGTGAAGTGTGTGTGTGTGTGTGTGTGTGTGTGTGTGTGTGTGTGTGTGTGTGTGTGTGTGTGTGTGTGTGTGTGTGTGTGTGTGTGTGTGTGTGTGTGTGTGTGTGTGTGTGTGTGTGTGTGTGTGTGTGTGTGTGTGTGTGTGTATGTGCGTGGAGTGTGTATATGTGTGCGTGGAGTGTGTGTATTTGTGACTCGGAAATATGTCGCGCGTCACTACTTCACAGGAGAGCCATTTGAACGTAAACTTTTTTTTAAATCAAAATGCGTTTTCTGTTAGAAATGCCTTTTGGAACATGTGAACTTTCACTTGCCTTAATAACAAACTTGGATGCCATCTGTAAATACGAATACAATTGATAAATTGCGAGCCTAGTTTGTTTAGCCACGGAAAAAGACAGGATCCTTCCCGCTAGCCATGATTGGCTGAGATAATGGCTGGGCTGGAGATGCGGAGAGATGAGTTCGGATTGGTCTGCAATGTAGCACGCTTCTGTCTATAACATGAGCTGGTCAGTATGTGTTGACAGTCAAGTTAAAGCGTGCTGTTAGCTTGCTAGCTAACGTTAGCTGGCTGGCTCGCTAGCTAATGTTACATGTATGATCAGTGTAGTAATATTATTTGTATCGCAGAGCCATTTGCATTACTAGTTATAGCCTAATGTTAGCTAGCTAGCTAACATTGAACCTGGTTGGTTTGCTACCTGCAGATTCATGCAGGGTAGTAACGTTATGAGTTGGGATTATGGTCTAGCTAGCTACATGTCTAAACAAAAGACTCCACTATGCAAGTAACCATTTCAATAGAATGTTCATGATTTCACTGCGACAACTGTAGGGTGCGTTCGTAAATTCGCTCTGGCTATCTACTTCGATTTCAGAGCACTCTCGTCTGAGTGTGCCAGAGCGCAGAATAACTGAGGAATTTAAGAACGCTCAACACCCGTTGAATATGGCCGGTGTCAGTAAACATCGACAAAAAAGCGTAATTAAATATTTGCCAAAAACAGCCTAACCAGCTCTGCTAGGGCGAGTAAAATGGTCAGAGTGAGCTTTTCTCTCATTTGTGTCTGGAAGTAGCTATCAAGCTAGCCAGCGTTAGCCAGTTAGCTTGGGTGCTTGACTGCTGTTGTTAGGTCAGAACGCTCGGATCAACCCTACTCCTCGGCCAGAGCGTCCAGTGTGCGCTCTGAACGCTCCGACAGCAAAACGCTCAGAATTTGCGAATGGACAATCTGACAACGCTGAGTTTACGAATGCCCAGAGCACACTCTGAGCACACTCTGGCACTCCAGATTGAATTTACGAACACACCCGTACTATAAACCAGCCTTTAGTCTTGAAATCTTTGGTTGTTTAGTACATGGCCTCACATGTGAATCCTTAAAGAGATGGGTGGGGCTAAGGCTTAAGAGGGTGTGAACGATGCTGAGTGGGTGTAGACAAAGAAGAGCTCTCCAGTAAGTGTACCAAAACATTCAAGGGCCATTTTCTCAAAAGTGAGGTTACAAGTTTATCAACTTTCAAAGCAGAATTACTTTCCGGTTGTTCCTCAACTGTAGTGTATGATATACCATTTTCTAGCTCTGAGTCTCTACTTTTATCCAATGTAAAAAAAACACAATTTCCAATTTTGCTACATAAGACCGAATCGAGCCGGTCTGTCACATATGTGTGTATTTGTGTGTGTGTGTGTGGAGTGTGTATATGTCTCACAGAGGGTATGTGTGATGGATAGAGGGGGTAGGCCTATGTCAAACATCTCACAGAGCTTAGATTAACTACCAGCTAAAATAAGCCTGTTTCAGCTAAAGGGAAATGGGTTTCAGTTCTGCTCTCCGGACGCGCACACACACATACACACACACAGACACACACTGTAAAAAATAATTTAAAGGGAATTTGCAGTATGTTTCTCTGTCACAGTTGTGGCTGTCTTGTCATGAATTGTAAAGCTGCCCCAGTAATTCAGATTTAGACAAAGTTGAATTCACACACACACATGCAGGCATGCACAGACACACACACACACACACACGCAAGACAGACACACACACGTCTGTGTAATCTTGAATAGCAGAACAGCAGGCTTTAGGCTGTAAGGCTGAGTCAGTTAAGGTCTGTTACTGTAGTCTGTCCCCCCCCCCTCCCCCCTCTCTCTCTCTCTGTTAGGGTCTTAGTTTACTGCAGTCTGTCTCTGTCCCCCACCCCCCTCTCTCTCTCTCTTCCTCTCAGTTAAGGTCTTTGTTACTGTAGTCGGTCCCCCCCCCCCTCTCTCTCTCTGTTAGGGTCTTAGTTACTGTAGTCGGTCCCCCCCCCCCTCTCTCTCTCTGTTAGGGTCTTAGTTACTGTAGCAGGGGTATATTTAGACACCCAGTGCGTGGACAGTTACTGGGCAGGGATTATGTGGCCCTATAAAACATGCATGTATGGAATACACAAATTAAATGTGTCCATTTGGACTTTCACTGATACTAAGCTCATCTCTGTCTCGGTTTTTATGTCTCTGTCTCTCCATCTCTCTCTTTGGCTCCTTTACTCTTCACTGCTTCTATACCTCTACACCCTTCTCTCTCTCTCTCTCTCTCTCTCTCTCTCTCTCTCTCTCTCTCTCTCTCTCTCTCTCTCTCTCTCTCTCTCTCTCCCCCATCCCTCTCTCTCTCTCCCCTCCCTCTCAGGTGGCACAGTTGTTATTGAACAGCAACATGGTGGTAGCTCTGTTGGAGGGGGAGGGGCTAGACGGTTTAGACCCCGCCTCTTCTAACACGCCCCTTCACCTGGCAGCTCGCAATGGACACAAAGACATCATCAGGTGAGAGGAGTGACTGTCCCGGACCGTGTATGTGTGTGTGTGTGTGTGTGTTGTCATTGCGTAACTGGGATCTCCACCCCCGAACCCCATAACCTCCAGGGTTTCTGACACGCTGTTAATGATTCCCATCCTCCTTAAATCACCACATTCCCGGGATAAGGCTTCCCTCCATCCCTCTTACACATTCTGCTGCTGTTGCGGAATGTGGCTGCCATATTATATATTGGGAAGAGAGAGAGAGACCGGGGGGGCACAGCTTTTCTACCTTCTCTACTACATTTGGGCTACCGAGTGGCGCAGCGGTCTAAGGCACTGCATCTCAGTGCTAGAGGCGTCACTACAGACCCTGGTTCGATTCCAAGCTGTGTCACAATCCGGCCGTGATTGGGAGTCCCATAGGGCGTCGTCCGGATTTGGCCAGGGTAGGCCGTCATTGTAAATAAGAACTTGTTCTTGACTGACTTGCCTAGTTAAAAAATATTAAATTAAAAATTAAAATACAGATTTCTTCCACTTTAAGCTTTATGGATGCTTTTTGTTGTGGATGGAGGGATGGAATATCTGGTCAGCAGGATAGAAGGTCTTAGAAAATAGTCAGTTTGCATCCTGCCTTTCACTTCAGCCCAATGTGATTATTAAACCTCTTTTAAAGATGCTGAGTTACCAGCTCTTCTTCTCTTTACTCCCCCCCCTCTCCTTTCATCTCCTCTTCTCCTCCTCTCTCCCGGTCGCACTCCTCACCCTCCTCCTCCTCCCTCATCTTATCCGCTACCGTCCCCTCTCTCTCGCTACCCTCTACCGCCTCCCGCGCTACTCGCACCCTTCCCCTCCCTCCCTCCTCATCTTACTCCTCTACCCGGGCCGTCCCTCCCTCTATCTTACTCCCGACCCTTCCTCCTCCTCATCTCTGTACTCCTCTACCCTTTCCTCCTCCTCTCCTCTATCTTACTCCTCTACCCTTTCCTCCTCCTCTCCTCTATCTTACTCCTCTACCCTTTCCTCCTCCTCTCCTCCTCTCCTCTATCTTACTCCTCTACCCTTTCCTCCCCTCTCCTCTATCTTACTCCTCTACCCTTTCCTCCTCCTCTCCTCCTCTCCTCTATCTTACTCCTCTACCCTTTCCTCCTCCTCTCTTGTATTCCAGTGTGGGAGTCTGAGAATCATCTCTCTGACATTACCTCCCCATACCAGGCATTCGCAGGCTTGTGTCCCAAATGGCACCCTATTCCCCACATAGTGCACAACTTTGGGTCCTGGTCAAAAGTAGTGTATCATGTAGGGAATAGGGGTGCCATTTGGGACGCAACCCCAGATTTCCTCTTCCACACCCACAGCTGTCTGGATCTGATGCTCTATGCATTCCTACAGCTGGGCTCCTCTGTGTGTGTGTGTGTGTGTGTGTGTGTGTGTGTGTGTGTGTGTGTGTGTGTGTGTGTGTGTGTGTGTGTGTGTGTGGTCTGTACAGTAATTTATACGTGTGTTAAACTTCCTGTCTGTGTTTGTCTGTCTCAGGTTGCTGTTGAAGGCTGGTATAGACATCAACAGAACCACTAAGGCTGGGACCTCTCTGCACGAGGCTGCCCTCTACGGCAAGACTGAAGTAGTGTGTCTGCTGCTGGACGTAAGACCAACACTACCATCTAACGCTCTATACTGGCATTCGTCCCAAATGACACCCTATTCCCCGTTTAGTGCACTACTTTTGACAAGGGGCCCTAGTATAGTGAATAGGGTGCTTTTTGGGACACATACACTTAGCTATCTCCTGAGGACCTTAAAACGTTAGTGTGTTTTTGCTTCACATGACAAGGACAAAGGAGCTTAATATGAGCTATTCTATAGACGTCGCTAGAGTTGGCTGACACAGGAACCCAGACTAAGGATTGATTGATAGTCGCACTCACAAGAGAAGTGCTGCACAGAGTGTGTTGTTTTTGAAAAGGGGAGATGTTGAGAGTTGTTGTTCTTTAATAAGGGATGGGGTTGACACATACACTATATATAAAAAAGTATGTGGACACACCTTCAAATTGGTGGATTTGGCTAATTCAGCCACACCCGTTGCTGACAGGTGTATAAAATCGAGCACACAGCCATGCAATCTCCATAGACAAACATTGGCAGTAGAATGGCCTTACTGAAGAGCTCAGTGACTTTCAGCGTGGCACTGTCATATGATGCCACCTTTCTGACAAGTCAGTTAGTGAAATTTCTGCCCTGCTAGAGCTGCCCCGGTCAACTGTAAGTGCTGTTATTGTGAAGTGGAAACGTCTAGGAGCAACAACGGCTCAGCCACGAAGTGGTCAACATGCGCAATGCCGAGCGTCGTCTGGAGTGGTGTAAAGCTTGCCGCCATTGGATTCTGAAGCAGTGGATATGCGTTCTCTGGAGTGATAAATCACGCTTCACCATCTGGCAGTCCGACGGACGAATCTGGGTGTGGCGGATGCCAGGAGAACGCTACCTGCCCGAATGCATGGTGCCAACTGTAAAGTTTGGTGGAGGAGGAATAATGATCTGGGGCTGTTTTTCATGGTTCGGGCTAGGCCCCTTAGTTCCAGTGAAGGTAAATCTTATAGCAGCAAAGAGGGGGACCAACTCCATATTAATGCCCATGATTTTGGAATGAGATGTTCGACGAGCAGGTGTCCACATACTTTTGGTCATGTAGTGTAGCTTCAGTTGGGGTGTTAGAGACTAACTTTGTGTGTGTGTTTGCTTGCATGCATGTGTGTTAGAGCCTAACGGTGTGTGTGTGTGTGTGTGTGTGTGTGTGTGTGTGTGTGTGTGTGTGTGTGTGTGTGTGTGTGTGTGTGTGTGTGTGTGTGTGTCTGTCCATTTAGGCTGGTATTGATGTGAACCTGCGTAACACCTACAACCAGACAGCTCTGGACAACGTCAACCAGTTCACCACCTCATCAGCCAGCAAGGACATCAAGATAATATTACGAGGTCTCCTCTCCTACATACAGATGTTACTATCTTGGATTTCTGGACCTGTCGTTCCTCTATATATTTCCCCAGGGTGGTTTGTGTATGGTTTTCTATGCATTCTCCAGTTGACGTTTCCCCACGTTATCCACCCAGGACTATCAGAACTGCTTTGTTGGTAAACATTCTGATTTGGTCTTTATGTAATACCTCCTTCTCTCTGTCTCTCTGTCTCTCTCTCTCTCTCTCTCTCTCTCTCTCTCTCTCTCTCTCTCTCTCTCTCTGTCTCTCTGTCTCTCTGTCTCTCTCTCTCTCTCTCTCTCTTTCGCTCTGTCTCTCTCTTTCTCTCTCTCTGTCTCTCTCTCTGTCTCTCTCTCTCTCTCTTTCTCTCTCTCTCTCTCTCTCTCTCGCTCTCTCTCTCTCTCTGTCTCTCTGTCTCTCTCTCTCTGTCTTTCTCTCTGTCTCTCTGTCTCTGTCTCTGTCTCTCTCTAGAAGCGTTAGGGTCTCTCCAGGTGAGAGCGGTGAAAGACTACTGGAACCTTCATGACCCTACAGCCCTCAACCTCCGCGCTGGAGACATCATCATGGTACACGTGTGTGTGTGTGTGTGTGTGTGTGCGTGTTCGTGCCTAAACATAAACAATCACATGTGTTTCTGCCCTTTAGGCAGGCAGAGCTGCTCTCAGAACAAGATTGGAGTAGCTCCCTTTAGGCAGGCAGAGCTGCTCTCAGAACAAGATTGGAATAGCTCCATTGTGAGGGGTAATTTGGTGTACTTGTGAGTTTGTTTTTAGAAATCTGTTTGTGGTTATGGTTGGTGTGAGTTATTTAAGAAATGTCTGAGGATAATTTGGTGTACCCTACTTAGTGTGTAAGTCTGTACGTTTTGTTTGTGGTTATGAAGTGAGGTGTGGAGTTTTGGGTTAATTTGGTGTACTCTAAATTGTCAACGGTTGGTTTGTGATTATGGTATGAGGTATGTTGAGGGGTAATTGACTGTATCCTGTGTAAGAAATTATAGAAGAGTTGGAGGTTGTTCTATGGTTCTTAGTAAGTAAAGACACGTCCTGTCAGTCATTCATTAGTTAGTGCATTCCATTGCTTGTGACATCACCATTTGCATTAGTGTGTGTGTGTGTGTGTGTGTGTGTGTGTGTGTGTGTGTGTTGTGTACTGTGCGACACTGTCTGAACTCTCTAGTATTTGTTTTTGGCCCCTCCGGGCATTTGTTAAGACTCGCGCAGAAGGTGTGTGTGTGTGTGTGTGTGTGTGTGTGTTAGCTCTTCCATTGTAGTATACAGGTCAGAGTAGAGCCCTGCAGGTTGCCCTGGGGCATGTCTAACATGGATCCAGTCAGCTGGCCTGGCACATACACAGTGGGGACTCAGTGTACTGTACACAATCTGCCCTCATTGGAATGTTAATAAGCCCATTTCCGTTACTCATGCAGAGATACATGAGGCGTAGAATATTAGCTGGTGTTGGGTTTTATGTGTACAACACCAGCAGGGTGGTATTCACCAAACTGAAGAAAACGGAACGACCATCTGATCTTTTCAATAAGAAAGTCATTATTGTTGCGCTAATCAACACTACCTTCAATGTAACACTAATCAATACGACCTTCAATGTAACACTAATCAATACCACCGTCAATGTAACACTAATCAATACCACCTTCAATGTAACACTAATCAATACGACCTGGACTTCAATGTAATAATAATAATAATAATAATAATATGGCATGTAACACTTATCAATACAACCTTCAATGTAACACTAATCAATACCACCTTCAATGTAACACTAATCAATACAACCTTCAATGTACCACTAATCAATACGACCTTCAATGTAACACTAATCAATACTATCTTCAATGTAAAACTAATCAATACAACCTTCAATGTAACACTAATCAATACTACCTTCAATGTAACACTAATCAATACCGCCTTCAATGTAACACTAATCAATACCGCCTTCAATGTAACACTAATCAATACCGCCTTCAATGTAACACTAATCAATACAACCTTCAATGTAACACTAATCAATACAACCTTCAATGTAACACTAATCAATACCACCTTCAATGTAACACTAATCAATACCACCTTCAATGTAACACTAATCAATACAACCTTCAATGTAACACTAATCAATACTACCTTCAATGTAACACTAATCAATACGAACTTCAATGTAACACTAATCAATACCACCTTCAATGTAACACTAATCAATACAACCTGGACTTCAATGTAACACTAATCAATACAACCTTCAATGTAACACTAATCAATACGACCTGGACTTCAATGTAACACAAATCAATACCACCTTCAATGTAACACTAATCAATACCACCTTCAATGTAACACTAATCAATACAACCTGGACTTCAATGTAACACTAATCAATACCACCTTCAATGTAACACTAATCAATACCACCTTCAATGTAACACTAATCAATACAACCTTCAATGTAACACTAATCAATACTACCTTCAATGTAACACTAATCAATACGAACTTCAATGTAACACTAATCAATACCACCTTCAATGTAACACTAATCAATACAACCTGGACTTCAATGTAACACTAATCAATACAACCTTCAATGTAACACTAATCAATACGACCTGGACTTCAATGTAACACAAATCAATACCACCTTCAATGTAACACTAATCAATACCACCTTCAATGTAACACTAATCAATACAACCTGGACTTCAATGTAACACTAATCAATACAACCTTCAATGTAACACTAATCAATACCACCTTCAATGTAACACTAATCAATACAACCTTCAATGTAACACTAATCAATACTACCTTCAATGTAACACTAATCAATACGAACTTCAATGTAACACTAATCAATACCACCTTCAATGTAACACTAATCAATACAACCTGGACTTCAATGTAACACTAATCAATACAACCTTCAATGTAACACTAATCAATACGACCTGGACTTCAATGTAACACAATCAATACCACCTTCAATGTAACACTAATCAATACCACCTTCAATGTAACACTAATCAATACAACCTGGACTTCAATGTAACACTAATCAATACAACCTTCAATGTAACACTAATCAATACGAACTTCAATGTAACACTAATCAATACCCTTCAATGGTAACACTATCATACTACCTTCAATGTAACACTAATCAATACCAACCTTCAATGTAACACTAATCAATACCACCTTCAATGTAACACTAATCAATACCACCTTCAATGTAACACTAATCAATACCACCTTCAATGTAACACTAATCAATACCACCTTCAATGTAACACTAATCAATACGACCTGGACTTCAATGTAACACTAATCAATACCACCTTCAATGTAACACTAATCAATACCACCTTCAATGTAACACTAATCAATACGACCTGGACTTCAATGTAACACTAGTCAATACGACCTTCAATGTAACACTAATCAATACGACCTGGACTTCAATGTAACACTAATCAATACAGCCTTCAATGTAACACTAATCAATACGACCTGGACTTCAATGTAACACTAGTCAATACGACCTTCAATGTAACACTAATCAATACCACCTGGACTTCAATGTAACACTAGTCAATACGACCTTCAATGTAACACTAATCAATACGACCTGGACTTCAATGTAACACTAATCAATACGCCTTCAATGTAACACTAATCAATACGACTGACTTCAATGTAACACTAATCAATACCACCTTCAATGTAACACTAATCAATACACCTTCAATGTAACACTAATCAATACCGCCTTCAATGTAACACTAATCAATACAGCCTTCAATGTAACACTAATCAATACCGCCTTCAATGTAACACTAATCAATACAGCCTTCAATGTAACACTAATCAATACAGCCTTCAATGTAAACATAATCAATACGACCTTCAATGTAACACTAATCAATACCACCTTCAATGTAACACTAATCAATACAACCTGGACTTCAATGTAACACTATCATCTACCTTCATGTAACACTAATCAATACCACCTTCATTAACACTAATCAATACCAAACCTTCAATGTACACCATCAATACACCTAATCACCATACCACCTAATGACACTAATCATACCACCTCAATGTAACACTAATCAATACACACCTCAATGACACTAATCAATACCACCTCAATGTAACACAATCAATACCACCTTCATGTACACTAATCAATACAGCTTCAATGTAACCTAATCAAACAACCTTCAATGTAACACTAATCATACGACCTCTGTACACTAATAACACACTCAATGTAACACTAATCAAAACCTGGACTTCAATGTAACCAATCAATACTACTTCAATGTAACACTAATCAATACCACCTTCAATGTAACACTAATCAATACCACCTTCAATGTAACACTAATCAATACCACCTTCAATGTAACACTAATCAATACCACCTTCAATGTAACACTAATCAATACCACCTTCAATGTAACACTAATCAATACGACCTGGACTTCAATGTAACACTAATCAATACCACCTTCAATGTAACACTAATCAATACGACCTGGACTTCAATGTAACACTAATCAATACCACCTTCAATGTAACACTAATCAATACCCGCCTTCAATGTAACACTAATCAATACCCACCTTCAATGTAACACATAATCATGTAACACTAATCATACGACCGTTCAATGTAACACTAATCAATACCACCTTCAATGTAACACTAATCAATACACTCATGTACACTATCAATCACTAATGTAACACTAATCAATACCCCTTCAATGTAACACTAATCAATACCACCTTCAATGTAACACTAATCAATACCGCCTTCAATGTAACACTAATCAATACCGCCTTCAATGTAACACTAATCAGTAACACTAATCAATACGACCTGGACTTCAATGTAACAGCTCTTACATCAGGTGGCTCAACAGTTTTGCTGGTAGAAGTTGACCCCCTAACCACTTATAATCA